ACATGACTTGGATATCTCAATATTAGATTCATACATAACATCCATGCTCCAGGCGTAGTACTGGTGTGCATCATCCATTAACCCATCTTCGGCACGCTCATTTGCGGTCTTCATTAGTCCGGACCTTTGCAAACGTTGGGTCATGCGATTAACCTCGTCGCGGATACGATGCAATGCCCTTTGCAACAACTGTGGAGTGTCAGTTGGCATACGCATGGCTAACCGGCGAGGAAATTTAAGATTAACTTCACGACATAGCTCAACGAGAACGTTTGCTCGAGTTTTGCGAAATTCCCACTCAGCTCTCATGGTATTCACGGTGGCACGTGAGTAACGCAGATTTGGATTCATTGGGTATTCAAATTCATCTCCATCTGCAACCCAATAGCGACCCATTGCTGAATATAGATCAACCACCGTATATCTCATGATGATATCGCTCGAAATAGCTGTAAAACTTTTGTTATGGTATGATGCGATATTTATACCATATATACACATGGTAGCTGTATGTATGAAATTATTGTAATCAACTATGCATCAGAGTTGTCACGTCAACTTTTATGACCTGAACAACTATGCATCAACTTGATAGGAGTTGTCACTTCGACTATTATGAATTGCACAATTGATTGTTATTCCAAAACAAATAGTAAAAACATAAAAATCTTGATGCTCGGCGCGGTGATACGTCCAACATTTGTCAGTGATGCTCACCAATTACTTGAACCGGTGTAATAATTTGGATGCTTTGTTTTTCAAGTTCAGGTGGTATGTGACTTTGTGCAGCAATGCAGTGATGCATGTGACTTTGTGCAGCGATGCATGTGACTTTGTGCAGTGATGCAGTGATGGATGTCGCTTTATGCAGTGATGCAGTAATGCATGTGACTTTCAGACTTTGCCATGCTTATATAGTTTGTCACTTTTTTCCTCAAATTACGTGATGCATGTGACTTTCTGCAGCGCAAGTAAATGCGTTATTTTTTTTTATCACATTGCAGAATATACAAAAAGAAACAATAAATGCAAACAGGAGAAAATAGGATGACTGTGAAGTTCAATAAGTGAAAATAAAATAAAATATAAGTTGTTTATGAAGAATATTAGTTTAAAACAAAGAAAATTTAAGGATTTAATTTCATTTATAATTTTTTGAAAATACCAATTTGTACTGAAATCGTCAATTCCAAGTCACCACTTACTGTATTAAAAAAGTAAGCATGAAAAAACAGTTTCACGAGGCGATGTGACAACTCACTGCATATTATTTTATTTGACAACTCACTGCTCTAATATGAAGGGATTGCAGTGTCATCCTTTGTCCTACAATGATGACTTTATCTGACAACCACGTCCCTGACTACATCACGGGTACACAAAGTCACGGGTACTCAGGATTGTATGAAATAAAAAGCTAAAAAATAATATCACGGGTATCACTTCTTCCATAGTGCCCCAGCATGCATTATCGTCACTAGATCATCTCTAGTTAACCCTCAGTATGATGTCTATAAATAGCGACAACCTGGGTATGATGTTTGTTCAAGTCATAACAATAGTAATATATCTACAATTACTATTATTATTTGTTTGGTTATTTTAGGAACAATGTCTTCAAGAGGTGCAGGAAGTTCACGCCAACAAAGAAATCCGAAAGTGTGGCTGCTACCTCCATTTAGTTATGACTACAAGAGCAAAAAGTACTCGAGTCCGAAGGATTATTATGCTGGTATCCGAGCAGAATGGGCGTTCAGGGTAACGGAGCAAGAAGGATTGTGTAATGATCTACGTAACTTTGGGGCACCGGTACCTCATCGTCGTTCATTAACCATGGCTAGACGAAATGTCAGTGACTATGAAAAAGCAGTTAGTAGAATTAAGAAGGAGAACAACAGAATGTTGATACAAAGATGTCGACATTTCATGCTTCAGCTAGCCACCGAAATGGCAGAAGCAAGCAACAGAGATTTGGAAGTGATTGAGCGAAATAATGTCGTAAACAATGAAAAATATCTCTCTGACTACTACATATCAGATGAGGAATGAGAAATCAAACACCTTTATCTTTCATATATATTTGTTTGTTGTCTAGAGTGTAAGACAATGCTGTTGTTCATCTAACGTACGGATGTATTTGAAGTATTTGTTTAATGAACCTGAAGTTTATGAAATAACTACATTTATAAAGCACATAAAACAGAACAGGTAGCTCGGTGAAAAGCTTCCCTTAACTGGGCTCGTGAAATAGAGATCATGTACGTAAAAAATTTTAATCTCCATGGGGAAAGAAGAAAGAGTCGCCTTCCAATTCCTGGAAGTCCAGTCAAAATGATGACTCTAGTAAGCAATTTAAAACGCAATTGGTTTACCTGAACACCAATTTGATATATGTGTGATTCTCAATTCAGAAAGTCACATGGCTACAGTGAATTCACTGATTTACCCTACAGTGAGCATGCCCTTATTTTGTGGGTATATGCAGATGGACTGTCAGGTCATATGACTTGGTGCACACACTTTGGTTTTCTCAATTTTTTGCTCAACTTTTTTATTACACTGACAACTCATTTTTTATTAATATATGTGCGATTCTCAATTCTGGATTAATGAATGGATTAATGTATGTTGAATTATGTGAATACTTAAAACACCTAAAACAGAATAGATAGCTCGGTGAAAAGCTTCCCTAACTGGGGCTGCTGAAATGGGGATCAATTTACAAAGAATTTCAATCTCCATCAGGAAAGAAGAAAGAGTCACCTTCCAGTTACATTGCTGGAAGTCCAGTAAAAATGATGACTCTGGTAAGGAATGGGGGGTTCACAAAAAATTAAATTTCGGGGGCTGGACAAACAAGCTCAAAGCCAAGCGGTTGGTCCAAGTTTGGTGAAAAGCTTCCCTTAACTGGGGCTGGTGAAATAGGGATCAATTTACAAAGAATTTCAATCTCCATCAGGAAAGAAGAAAGAGTCGCCTTCCAATTCTTGTAAGTCCAGTACAAATGATATCTCTGGTAAGGAATGGGGGGTTGACAGAAAACTAAACTTCGGGTCCTGGACAAACAAGCTCAAACCCAAGTGGTTGGTCCAGTTGGGGGACTAAGTTTAAAACCCAATTGAAATTGTGTAGACACTAGAAATTGACGATTCTCTTAGTATAGAAACTAGAATTGGAACCCGTTCTAATGACGCTGATAGAAATAGTAGGTCATAACAACGAATGATGCATAGCTAACTGAAACACAACATTGCCTACATAAGCTTCATTTTTTCAAACATTGAGTAGTCAAATCGTAGAGAGACTTGTCAGTATATGCAGATGGATTGTGAAGTCATGTGACGCCTTCCAATTCTTGTAAGTCCAGTACAAATGATATCTCTGGTAAGGAATGGGGGGTTGACAGAAAACTAAACTTCGGGGCCTGGACAAACAAGCTCAAACCCAAGTGGTTGGTCCAGTTGGGGAAATAAGTTTAAAACCCAATTGGAATTGTGTAGAAACTAGAAATTGACGATTCTCTTAGTATAGAAACTAGAGTTGTAACCAGTTCTAATGACGCTGATTTGTTATTTTTCGGATTTATACCCAAAGAGAACAACACTTCTGAAATTGTAACCAATCCACCATTATTTTAAAGTTGATTTCAAAAGTTGAGATTGTAAATGTTTCCCAAAATATTACAAATCGAACAATCAAAAGTTGATTTTAAAATAATTCCAAATGACAACAAAAATTCAAATAGTCATACTTTTCCCGTTGATAGAAATAGTAGGTCATAACAACGAATGATGCATAGCTAAGTGAAACACAACATTGCTTACATAAGCTTCATTTTTTCAAACATTGAGTAGTCAAATCGTGGAGAGACTTGTCAGTATATGCAGATGGATTGTGAAGTCATGTGACCTGGTGCACAGGCTTTGGTTTTCTCGATATTTTGCTCGATTATTTGATACACAATGACAACTCATCTCTTATTGATATATGTGGGATTCTCAATTCAGAAAGTCACATGGCAACAGTGAATTCACTGATTTACCTTACAGTCAGCATGCCCTTATTTTGTGGGCATATGCAGATGGATTGTCAAGTCATGTGAATTGGTGCACAGGCTTTGGTTTTCTTGATTTTTTGCTCAATTTTTTTATTATAGTGATAACTCATCTCTACTTGATATATGTGGGATTCTCAATTCAGAAAGTCACATGGCAACAGTGAATTCACTGATTTACCTTACAGTCAGCATGCCCTTATTTTTTGGGTATATGCAGATGGATTGTCAAGTCATGTGACTTGGTGCACAGACTTTGGTTTTCTCAATTTTTTGCTGTACTTTTTTATTACAATGACAACTCATTTCTTATTAATATATGTGCGATTCTCAATTCAGAAAGTCACATGGCAACAGTAAATTCACCGATTTACCTTACAGTGAGCATGCCCTTATTTTGTGGGTATATGCAGATGGATTGTCAAGTCATGTGACTTGGTGCACAATATTTTCTTTTTTCTAGTTTTTCATTCTACTGACAACTCATACCTTGTTCGTTTATGTGAGATTGTCATGCAGGGCCATATTTCTAAAGCTGTTCATAACCAACTATGTAAACGACTAAAGGTGAAGACAGAACCTTACAACTCATTTCGCCCTACGAAATTATCATTCATTTGTTTTAAAAAATTAGCATGGCTACATGGTTCATGGGAGGGAGTGGGAATCGCAGAGGTGGTAGGAACTTGCAAAGGGGTGACAGTTCACGACGAGGAGGGGGAAGGGGAAGTGGCATGACATTCCCTTTTATAAATTTGATATAAATAAATGACTTTTTAGAAGTGATCCACAAAAAAATTGATATAAACATTAGAGGTCGAATAATTTGACACAACACCCATTTTGGAGTGTCTATGCTAGGTAACAAATATGAAAGCCAACCTTGTAAAACTTACAATATTTTAACCTTGTAAATGAAAGGATGGAAAAATGCAAGAGGAGCAGTTTTGTGATAGCCTGTGGACAATAATAGACCTTTTGGCGGTAGTGGCTATAGAGTCGCCTCTTGCTCGAGTAGTGTGTAAGAGGCACCACACAAGCACTCAAAGAGATCACACATAAACTCCTTTATTGAGAATGCAGCCTCTCTAGCCTCTTGCAACACAAAACATTTCAATCTTCCAAATGCTTGAGAAATTCGACAAGTTTGAATCATGATACGATATACCAGGTGAAAGGTGAATCATTGTGATTACATTTACATAGATTTTTTTTTTTTTTAATGAATTTTACTTTAAATTAGGTCCTTTTTTTTTCTTTTTTCTTAGGTTTTTTTTTAACCTAAAAATAAAAATTTTGATAAAAATTTTTTTTAAAAAAAAAATTGAAAAATGTTAATTTTTTTAGTATTTACCATACATGAACTCAATTATGGTATTTTCTTCTTTGTTATTGGTTTACTTATTTATTTCACCATAGCATCATTGGTGTTCCAATTGGTGGAGAATTTGAACAGGGAGGCATGTTGGGATAACTCATTTAAAGTCCAACTATTATTGCACACAAGATAAGAGGATATAAGTAAATTTGTACCAAAAATTGTAACTTAAGGAAAATATGTTGGTAATTATATTACCTAAAGCGGAAATGGTTTGGATCAGATGCTTGAATTATGAGCCTCGTCTGGAAAATCATTTGTCAATTGAGAAGCTACCACAGTTTCCACCCTCCAAATCTCTAGGTTCTATAATGGTGACCTAATAGTGTAGAACATATAGAGAAATCTTTTTCTGCATGAGATTTTCTGGTAAACTTACACACCATTAATAATACGTATTATTGTTTTTCTCTATATCAAATATAGAGATTCTCTCCTGATAGAGGTGGAGTTGTAGTCTCCCACAATAACTCAAACACCTAAAAGATAATCTCTTAATTATCTTATTTATTAAGTAGTAAATTATCTATAACCCATGTGGACGCTCCATGGGTTGTGGGCTGGGTCAAATATGACCCAATTTCCAACATCTCCCACTCGTCCACATCATTGGTTACATTCACAACCATCATTTCTCTATCTCTTATTCAAACCACTCATCATACGGAAAAATGAAGCGTGCGACCTGACGAGAAGGTATAACGATAGGAGTGCTATATTAAGCCACCATAAACTAACATAGTATATCGCTTGAAATATCTCGTCTATACCCCAGATTCATTGGATCACACCAGATCAAACATTTTAAAACCCCTCTCGAATTATAGCTTGTAAACATGCTTGACCTCAACATTGTGTCTGTACTCATGATTATATCGTGATCTCAAATCCGACACAATCGCCCAGGCAATAAGCTACAATATAAGGGTATGATTTCCAACAATCATCCCTAGACACTCATGTTAATTCACTCAAACTTGACCGCTTTCTAGACATGGTCCTCTAGATCATATTTATTGTGACCCTTGGATGACATGCTAAAATAGCTACATCAAGTCATCATTTCATGAAATAGTTCCAGGTTTAAGAGCATAGTGTAGGCCTATTATTGGCCTAACAGGGCTTACACAGTGCTAGAGTAGGGATCCATCTAGCCAATCCCTTAAATGGTTGATGGTAGCACATACAATATGATATGTATGCTATGGCGGAGCTCCCACTAGATTGGGTTATCACTCTCTAGCCATACGAATCTTAGTCTAGTCGCTATACAAGCGCCTAACCTGAGTTTCTTAGCATATTCGCTCATCAAGTGCTTATCTAGGATCTCACATTCAGCTATATTCAGGCTTCATGAAGCTATAGATAACTTCATGTTCAAATTTTTAAAGTCTCGTCTTAGCCAATGCCAAGGTGACATCTAATAATAAATCAGTTTTGTTCACTTCTCAAGCCATAAAGCATTTACATTGCTCGCTCTCTAAGCACCAAAATAATTAATGTCTCATTTCGCTCGCTCTAGAAGCGAGAGGGTGATTGCCAGTGTGAGAAGGCCAATCTAAGCCTTGTGACATCATATACAATGTGTGCCAATAGTATCAATTATGCCATAAAGCCACATAAATAAATAAATAAATATGCATAAGATACTCATAAAAATATCCAACAAAGTCAATGAGGTATCAATAATAAAAAAAAAACATCAAATCCTAAGAAGTCTCAAACTCCTAATAAAAGCCCCAAAAAGATTACTCCAAACTCCTCCTCCTCCTCCTCCTCCTCCAAACTTAGCTCAGTTTCTTCTGGGCATAAGCTGCCAAAAACATTATCCAGGACATCTAGTTTGAAACTGGTCAGGACTTTAATAAAGACTCCCAGTTTCAAACCAGCAAGGGCTTCCACAAGAAAGTGTTCACAGGCTGTTCTTTGTGAAAATCTACAAGTAGAGAGATCAACGTGCTCTTCAACTTTAAAGGATTCCAAGTTTCCCAATTACCTTGATCTCAGTCCTGGGGCAACTGAATCACAAGGGACCTCAGTCATGAAGGTCTGCCCATACACATACTGTTCTCTTAATGGTCATCACCATGCTCCTTTGCCTCCACTTAAGTGCTTCTTATCGGCAAGGAGACATATGTTGAAGACCCAGAAGAGAATGAAAAAATTGGGATGTCTATCCCCACGGCCACGTCGAGCTAGGCCATCCTCTGATACCCGTGGTGGGACGAAAGAGATTCCCGAGCATATTACACTTGATGTGAAACCTTCAATTCAAGAAGAACTTGATTCAAATAGCCCAACAATCCATCCTCTGATACAAGAGGATGATCAAATGGATTACTTTATTGAAATCTATGCTAGAGATACAGAAGACGCTGCTGAAACTACTGGTGGAAGAAGCAAACAAAAAGGGGAAGACAAGGATGAAACCAACGAAACAGCAGCAGAACATGATGGCGGAGGACAAGTTGAGATGTTCTCAGATGAGGCACCTCTTCATTCTGAGATTGATTTTGAGGACAATCTTTATAACACAAGTGAACTCATTTCAACAGGAATGGAAGCAGCAGAGGAAGTACGTTCGCCTTTTTCCACTCAAGAAGAGGAAGAATCACCAGAGTATCCGACCAATCAGAGTGACTTCAAAATGGAAAGCCCAGCAAGCACTGAACTCGATGAAACAGAGTCTGAAATTTGTGATATGGAATGGGAGGAGGGCCAATACTCTGCCCCATCTCTGAATGATGAAGTTGCAAACTCAACTCAAACAAACAATGAATATAATTTTAGTAGTTATTCTTCATTTGGTGCTAATAATTCTAGTTTGCATGACGAACCCATTTTCAAGTCTGCCGAAATTGTTAGCAGCTACTTTGATGATATTTCTGGTGATGAAGGCCCCAAAGAATTCTTTGAGGAAGAAGCTGCAAGCTCTGGAGGTGGGTGCGGTAACAGCCGTTCTGTTTCTGAGGGTTCATATCAGCATTTGGGAGCCGATAAATCGATGCAAGAGTTCAATAACCAAAACTACCTAGTTTCTTCTACTTCTGATGTGTTCAAGGAATCAACCATAGAAGAAAAAGATGGAAATGCTGAGTTATACGACACTGCGATCACTTTGTCACCCATTGAAGAGCCAATTGAGAAGCCAAGTGCTTTGCTGGGGAACCAAGAGTGTGATTCTTGTCATGATTTCACTGAACCAGGTCATGATGAAACACATGAGGATTACAGTTCAAGTGACAACAACATTGAAGTTTACCAATCCAATGCTGTTAGAGAAGAGGCATTTGTTGGAAGCCTTCTACCCAAGACCGAGGATCCAGAAATGAACCAGAGCCTAGAAAAAGAACTCCCTACTGCTGATGCTGGAGATCGAACAGAAGAGGAAAACGAAGAGGAAGAGCAAGAGGGTGCAGCCAAATCACTGATTAGAATCCCAACTTCTGAAATGCTGCAGGGTTTATCTGAAGATCATCAGGATATGACTAAGCAAGATGATAATGAAATCCAATTTGGTGTCATAGCCGAAGATGGTGAAGCAAATCAAACTATTGTAGATGAAGGGCTGCCTGCTGAAACCCTGGTTCAATCATCTGTTAGGGAGTCTCAGACCAACAACAATGTTGAAGACCAGAACCACCCAGACCATGAAGCTCAGAGCTTCAAAATCTCAGATTCCATAGATTCAGAAGATCAAACTCATTGGGAGCTCAATAAAGTCAGTGTAGCCAAAAATAGCAGCGAAGATGATAATGAAATGGAAGTGCAGCATTCAACCATGTCAGATCCAAAAGAAAGCTTCCCATTATCAAAAAAAGCAGCCAGCAAACAAGCAAAAATCGCATTCTTCCACGGTAGAAACCATTCGAGTCAAAAAACAGCCCAAGGACCCTAACAATAATCTGAGGATAATCAGATGCAAAAGGCCTGTTGAGGAGTCGGAGGAAGCAAGGAAGTTCAACCCACGGGAACCAAATTACTTGCCCATTGAGGCTGACCCAGAAGCCGAAAAGGTTGATCTCAGGCATCAAATGGTGGATGAAAAGAAAAATTCAGAAGAATGGATGCTTGATTATGCACTACGACAGGCTGTTACCAAACTTGCCCCTGCACGGAAGAGGAAAGTGTCATTACTTGTGGAAGCTTTTGAGAAAGTCATGCCGATACCCAAATATGAATCCCATCTAAAGCATACATCAGCAGCTTTTGCTCATGCAAGATCCATTCAAGCTTGTAGCTGATGCTGACCACTGCGGTAACTACAAAGTTCTTCTATTTTGAAAAGCCTTTATATTATATACATACATACACACACAAACACACACACACACTGTGTTCGTGCGTTTTTCAGAATTCATAAACTGACTTTACAGAAACAGAGATAACCCATCATTTTTCAGAATTCATAAACTAACTTTACTGTAACAGAGATAATCCATTTGATATCTTGTGTCATGTTTTACAGCAGGCATGATCAAGAGAAGTCAGTGAGTCATAATCCATAACTACTCAAGTAATCTCAAAAGTACCGGACCAGTTCAAGCAATAGCCCATGTTTTAGGAGTGAACTTCCAAGTACCCAGAACAACTTACTTCAGCTTTCTTCGGAGTATTCTGGTTTCTCCAAGCTCTATTATTGAAGTGCAAGTTAAGAACTTTCAGTTAACGCTCTATGTAATGCAAATAAAAATGTTGTGTTCAGATTCTCTATAAAACAGTATCTATCTATGATCTATCTATCCGTTCTTGTTGTAAAGGGCACCTAAACCTCTAGATATTGGTGTACTACAGTTAATGTTTGTTATGTATTATATGCATTAGAGTCTATTCTGATATGCAATTATTTTTCCAATATCACAAACTATAAAATTGTTCTCTTATATGGAAGTCCAGAAATCAGTAGCAGAAGGTCATAATTTCTTATAATTATAATTAACGTCTTAAATCCACAGGTGCATGTTTACATGACGAGCAATAACAGGCATTAATGTAATGATATTTGGCAATAAACACAATTGTCTTTTCCATTTCCACCTTTTTTTGTGTCAAGTTTTCACCATGAATTTCCTTCCCATTCTATACAAGCACAGATTAATTGACACATGTAATCACAATTAAACCATCATCATCCCAGACAGCTAATATGACCTATAGACAATTAAAACATGATGAATCATTTTCATCCTGAATGTTCATCGTCGACTGTATTCCCTTATCACCCGAAAAATGAAAAATAAAAATAGGGCAAATTGCAAATAGATGAGACAGTCATAAAATAGTTACACTATAGATGAGAATCTTTTTTGGTGGAACTCTGATGAATGGACTTGCACCAAACACTGGAATAGACTTGCACTACCATGAAAATGAAATTATTTCTCTGTTGTTCCACTGAAATGCAAATTCCCCATAAAAATTCAGTTAAAAATCAACATCTATTGTATTAATTGAGAGGGCTTTAGGCACATTAGAATTATACATATGGGAAGGATATTGAATGGTGAACTGTATTAAATACATGGCTTGTTAATGGACTTGAATTTTGCAATAATTGTTACCACAACTAGGGGTGGGTAAATCTTCAGTAAGAACAGTTGAACTTTATATCATATTAACTATCTGAGAAGAAAAAGTTGAGAAGTCCACTTAGTGATCTAACACTGTGGGGATATATTTTCTGAGTATCAACACGTGGCAAGGTGACGCCGACGTGTCAGCCGAGGTGCCACGTGTCCTGATCGAGACGCCGAGGTGATCTCGGAAAGGCCGAGGTTATCTCCGAAGATATCGGAATCCGAGATAAGAGGATAAAAGATAAGGGACAAGAGTCCTGGGATAAAGAGGAGACTTAGTTAAGATGAGGATAAAATTCTTTGGGAGTTTATTTTTATCTCTTGAAGAGTCCAAAGTAAGTACTGAATTGGAGTCTATAGAAGTCAGGCTTCCTGTGGGACTAGGATTAAGTAAACTATAAAAGAGAGGCACCCCCGTGGGTCTAAAGTACGTAATTTATATTCTAAGCAGTAAGTTTAGCACTTGATTATCTTTGAGAGATATACTGACTTGATCGTCGGAGTGCCCCCGGGTGGAAGAGCCACCACCGGAGCCTTTTCTTTCTGTTGCAGGATAACTGAAGCCATCTATTCTGCCAGTGCTCTCTAGATGATTACTAAACGGGCAGTGTAATAAAAAAATCACCCACACAATTTGGCGCCGTCTGTGGGAACTTAGAAGAATAGATGGCCAGTAACGGACAGAAGCAAAACATTGGGGGTGACACTCCTGCTGGGAGTAGCAGACCAATTGACCTTGACGTTGAAGGAGACAACCACAATGCAGAAACTCATGACCAGGGCCACGGAGAGAAAGACGTCGGCCAGGAGGGCGACACTTCGAAGAGAACAGACCAAAGCAAGTACCATAATGAAGATAACCTTAAGGTATGGAGGGATAGGTGCCTACGGAGGGATGAAGAAGTAAAAGAATTGACAAACAAGTTGGCAGACCTACAGTCGGTTGTCAACTTCATGATGCAAAACAATGTCATGCAGCCACCATACCTGCTGCAGGATACGCCGATGCCAGTAACTAATACCCAGAAGGGAGGAAGAAGAACAATCCCCAAAGTCCCTCAGCACACCAGGAGCGGAATACACTCTCACCGACCTTCCAGGGAAGTCGGAGGAGAGGAGACGAGATGAGAGGAGTCCCGAAGAACGTATCACACGAAGGACCCAGAGCCCAAAGAACATCGGCATGTTCAAGGGCAGGCGCTCTGCTTTGACACAACACATGGAGAGAGAGATCAAAACGAGCCCACCACGAGGCCGAAAGTAGTGTGCTGAAGAGATTGAAGTCTAGAGATAGCCGAGCTCCAGGGAAGAGCAAAGAAGACTTGAGAGATTACCTCAAGAGGAAGCAACAGAATGCTGAAGCCGAGGTAACTTCCCCAGTTAAGCCGAAGACACCATTCTCGGTGGAACTAGACAAATTTGAAGCACCAAAGAGATTCAGTATGCCGAGGTTCCAAATATATGATGGTAAGTCAGATCCCAACTTTCACGTTGGACTATACCTGAATTCAATGGCATTATATAGTGGGAACGAGCCGTTGCTCTGCAAAGTATTCCCCTCATCTTTCGGGGAAATTGCATCAGATTGGTTCCATAAACTATCGAAGGGAAGCGTAAAGACTTGGGAAGGCCTGGCCGAGATGTTTGTGGCCAGGTTTGTGACAAATAAACTACAACCCTTGAGGGTCGACGCACTGATGGCTTTAAAAATCACCAAGGATGAAGGCCTTAGGGCCTACGCAAAAAGGTACTACGAGGTGTTCAATCGAATACCCGAATGCAACCAAGAGGTGGCAGTCATGTCTTTCAAGAACGGCCTGAAAGATGACTGCCCACTACGGAAGTCTTTGGCAAAGACATTGCCAAAAAGCATGGAAGAACTCATGGCGAGAATCGAGAAGTACGCCAAAGCCGAAGAGGATGCGTCGGGAAACAAAGAGACAAAGCAGGAGAAAGGAAACGGCTCGCCGAAGCGAAGCCGAGGCAACAATGGACCGACCAAACAAGAAACAGAATTGAGGGCTAAACAGGCAGTAACAACTATATTCCGAGTCCCGATCCACAAAGTCTTGGATCAAATACGAAACCAACCCTATTTCAGAGCACCGACAAGAGCACCAGGGGAATTTATGG